CCCCCATCACGTAATGGAACGCTCCTGACATACCCTGTCTCTCGATACAACACAGTCTTGTCTCATACACTTAGGGGACAAAAGACACTTGAAGCATCACCACATTCCTTCACGTGTCAAAAACCTGTCTTAAAGAGCAGTTTGAGCAAAGACAAAAGTGCAAAAAGATAAAAGAACCATAAGGCCCAGTGCAATTGCTCTCTCTGAACTGCAGAGACGTGGATTTGATGGATGGACCACTCAGTGGATAAGGAATTGGCTGGATGGTTGCACTCAAAGAGTTGCGGTCAACAGCTCAATGTCCAAGTGGAGACCAGTGACGAGTGGCTCCTCAGGGGTCAGTAGCGGGACCGGCGTTGTTTAACATCTTTGTCGGCGACATGGACAGTGGGATGGAGAGCACCCTCAGCAAGTTTACCAATGACACCAAGCTGTGTGGTGTGGTCCACACGCTGGAGGGAAGGGATGCCATCCAGAGGGACGTTGACAGGCCTGAGAGGTGGGCCCGTGCAAACAAGGCCAAGTGCAACGTCCTGCACCTGGGTCGGGGCAATCCCAAGCACAAATACAGGCTGGGCGGAGAACAGATCGAGGGCAGCCCTGAGGAGAAGGACTTGGGGGTGCTGGTCGACAAGAAGCTCAACATGACCCAGCAATGTGCGCTGGCAGCCCAGAAAGCCAACTGTATCCTGGGCTGCATCACCAGCAGCGTGACCAGCAGGTCGAGCGAGGGGAGTCTCCCCCTCTACTCTGCTCTGGTGAGACCCCCCCTGCAGTACTGCCTTCAGCTCTGGGGCCCCCAACACAAGAAGGACACGGACCTGTTGGAGCGAGTCCAGAGGAGGCCACGAAGATGATCCGAGGGCTGGAGCACCTCTCCTGTGAAGACAGGCTGAGAGAGCTGGGGTTGTTCAGCCTGGAGAAGAGAAGGCTCCAGGGAGACCTTAGAGCAGCCTTCCAGTACCTAAAGGGGCCTACAAGAAAGCTGGGGAGGGACTTTTTACAAGGGCATGGAGTGACAGGACAAGGGGCAATGGCTTTAAATCAGAAGAGGGAAGATTTAGATCAGAAATTCTTCACCGTGAGGGTGGTGAGGCACTGGCACAGGTTGCCCAGAGAAGCTGTGGATGCCCCATCCCTGGCAGTGTTCAAGGCCAGGCTGGATGGGGCTTTGAGCAACCTGGGGTGGTGGAAGGTGTCCCTGCTCATGGCAGGGGGTTGGAACTAGGTGAGTTTTAAGGTCCCTTCCAACCAAACCATTCTGATTCTGTGATGATTCCATGACTAATTACTTTCTTGCAGCAATTGACAAGGGTTTTACTTCTAGAGGATTTGCACTTCTGTACAATGCCACACACAGCTAACTCATCACCTATAGCTGTGGCACTCGGGCGTTACAGTAATTCAGAGTGTTTGAAGTGAGACAGCACGGCGCAGCAGAGCTGCATGCTCTCTCTTCAGGGAGGTTACAAGACTGTGAGGACTGACTGCACGCAGCTGTGTGCCTACTGCCCAGGTGTTGCATTCCCACCTCAGTTATTCCTTATCAGTAGCATCTGCTGGACCACTATATATGACCAAAAGGAGCTGACATGATTTTCCATCATGTTCCAAGCTATGCATCACTTGATTCCTTATATTTACATGAACATTAGACAACAGATTCACACAGACATTTGTTAACATCCACACTTTGTTGAGTACATCCCAAAATGAATTTTAAATGAAATATTGAAATGAGTACTGCAAATTGTGTTTTTTCTCAGAAAGCCAAGTTTACACCAGAATTCTTCTTTAATAAGAGCTCTCCATTTAAACGGATACATTTCTTCAGTACCCATAAATGAACATATTCTCCTTTTGGATAGTATTATGCTTTAAATTAGTGTTGCATAAATACCGTTACCTTTTTTGGTGAAAAACTCCTTGGAATATTTCCCCAACATAGCGTATTTTCGAGGGATTTTTCCCAGCAGTTCAATGATCAATGCTATGTGGTCTGCATTGGAGAACATTGCCAGCAAAACAGAAACATACAACAGTTTAATCAGTACGTTGCATGCACACACTAACACCGGCCCGGTACAGACAGAAATAGATTGATCCTGGTAAAAAAGACAAGTGCACACTGCTCAGTGAGTGGCTAACTTGGAAAGATGCTTTCAGCAAAACTTCCTTCTCAAAACAACATTTGAGTATCAGCTGCTACAAACCAGCTTTGCTATATAATTTAAAATGTACCAATAGTTATTTTCCAGAACGTTTAGCTAAAAAAAAAAAAAAAAAAAAAATTTCGTCACAGATTCCTGTGTATTTTGTTTTTCAAAAAGAAATTTTTGTTGTGTGATTTCAGGAAATGCTCCTCAGTGGGACATGCTACAACCAGCAACAGCAATTCCACTTCTGTCTGCATCACGGCACCTTTCAAAAAGAAGAGGTACTACCTCTGCGATTGAAGAATTCCCGAGAATATTTTCCAGATAGAGCAAAGTGCCTTGGGATATTGCCTAGCAGCTCTATGATGTGTGCTATGTGGTCTATGAGGGAGAGAAAAAAAGGATACGGGAGTGGAAGGGGCAGGGAAAGGATGGGATAAAAAAGAAGAGGAAAGAAACTGGAATTAGTAAAAAATCAGAAATAGTTTCAAATCAACAATGTTTGCAGCAAATCCATGCAGAGGTTTCCAGGATCAGCAGAGCTCTGGCATCATTAGTAGCATTTAGGAACAATGAATGATGCCCACATTACCACTGCAAAGAGCATTTACAAGCAAACAAGCATGGAAATGGACAGGTATACAGATGGAAGCAGGAGTTAATTCCGATTTAAAAAAATTAGTAATTGGCCAATTCAAATAAAAATACACAATTTAAACATTATTCCAGTGTCAATCTTATAAAAAGAAAATACTATAAAGTTCAAATTTGTCATTTCTTTTCCAAACTAAAATGTTGTTATTCTCAATCAGGTTTCCACACATATGCAATCTTACAAGAAGGGCAGTTTAATTCCTTCAGGCAGTTGTTGAGTATCTGCAGAAGGGAGTTTTTGCCCACCCATTGCTAGTGATGGAACTTAAAACTAAAAAGAAAAAAATCATATTTATATTCTGAAAACAATGTATATGAACAGTTCACTCAAATACAAAAATTAACCCCACTGTAAGCTCACTGGAAATTTAAGAAGAGGAATGTGAAAATATACAGAAACACATATAATATCTCAGAAGATTCATACCTTCATCCCTGGAATAGTCTTCACCAGAGTGTGGTTCAAACAAATAATCTCCAGTTGCTAGCTCAAAAGCCTATAACGTAACAGACATATTTATGGGTATTTCAGAAATCATGTTTTTAATCTTCAGATGTCAGCAAAATATCACAACTATTCCCCGAGAGGGAATTTACATTCAAAGCTCAAGGCCTACAATTGGATCTGAGACTGAGGAGAGGCCACTTACCTGGGGACCATCATTCCTGCAGTGCAACGACAGCATGAACCCAGGCTCTGGAGAGAGCCCCACGTTCAACCCCAAGCACACCCCATCAGTCCAAGAGGCTGGAGGTTTGGCAACAGACAGCATGCCCAAACCCCAGGCGTTTCTGCCTACTCAATCAGGATGAATGAAGGAGATGGACAAAGAGTGTGGAACTGCAGTCCCCTCCCAGCAAGCCCTGGGGCTGCATCGGCTGACCAGGGAGTATTTCGGTCGTGTTGCGACATTCAGCACTGGCCTCGGTGGCGGGAGGCAGCAAACAGCATCCAGCTGCGGAGGAAGCAATTCTGAACAGATCGGCTGCACCGGGGTGTGAAGGGGGCATCAGTGTGAGCCAATGTTAAACATACCTTTACATACTAATCATGTTAAATATGTGTAAGTTAATGAAGCTGAGAGAGAGGTATTTCTAAACATATAATAAAGAGCTACACTTGTATCTGAAGGCTAATTATGTGCCAGATTGCATGTTGGAGACTGAAATAAAAAAGTCTGAATCAGAAATAAAATCCATTTATAACTATAATTAATCACTTGAAATTAGCAAACAGGGTAAATTTCCTTGACGACTCTAAATCTAGAACAGTTTTTAAAAAGGTATTTTTGTTGAATCAGAAGTCATCAAAGTAAATACTGCAATCATGGGGTACAATACTGAGACTGACATTGATGAGAGAACATGATAACTAACTCCTTCAGGCCATCACAATGCTTGGGTGGGATGCTAACCCTATGTTAGGTCAGGACAAAAGTGAGTTTCTCTTTATGGGTGTAATGCACATTAAAAGCCACAAAGTGTTGAAATGAGAGCCCATACTTGTATAAAAACACAGATTTTATCTAGCCTAATTGTTAAACTATTCTCTTTCTGCTCTGGATCACCAATTACCCAAGCAGCCACAGGAATCTAATTCTTTACAGATGGTTTAAACATCAAACTATTTTCATCTCCAAGACCACAGAAAACATCTGATCCAGAAAATCATTCCAAAAATCAGGCAGAACTTCCTGGCACAGTTGTAGGATGGGATTTCACTCTGTTAGAACATTCACTACAAAATGTTTGTCTCCTGAAAATACTCACTTTTGTGTTCCAATTCATAATCTGGAGTTGTTAAATCACCTGTAAATTTAGCCTGTTTATGGGCACTTGGCTTTTTCAAGCTGTGAACTGCAGTGTCATCCAAGTGGGCTACAGCCAAAACAATTCATTGCAATCACACACAGCAGCCAAGAAAGCAAGAATGCCCCTTGTTGACATTTCTGTTGATCCTATGAATGGCCCTTTTATTTCTAAAGTCACTATCACTAATAAACAGTTATTCGCTTTTTTTCTTATTCTACTCTTAGTTCAAGATTGAGAGTTTTCATTTTACAGCTTCATTTGCTTTTTTTCTTATTCTACTCTTAGCTCAAGATTGAGAGTTTTCATTTTACAGCTTAAAAAAAAACTGCAGGACTTCAAAAATTACCAGGTATTTAAACTGAAGAAATTTTTAGAATATCTAGAAGAGATCATTGATAGAGATCTCTAAGCACAACATGGAGAATATTGTTATTCTCCTGAGATGAGACTGCGAAGCCCCAGGTGTCCCTTCTGTGTCTCATGGGAATATATTCACTGGAAGAGCCAGACCAGCTTTCCTAGGAGAACACATGCTGATGGGGCTGATTTCTGAGGACATGAAGAAACTAATTGCTATTTAACACAGATTCCTGGAGAACAACAGAAATGTAGTTGAATTTAGCCACAAAGGTAGACTCCAAAAGAATACAGCTTCTGTCCCCAAAAAAATGAAGTATTAATAGCTTGATATGTCCACATGGGACTAAAAAGATTAAATTGGAAAAAACTGTAAAAACTGTTCATAGAGAAGCACAGGAAGTAAGCATACCACTGTGATATGATACACTGAATTTTAGATTGGTTTGTATAAGAGCTGCAAGCTCTCATAGATTTGGGATATTTATACCACCCTTTTGCTGAAGAGAAACTAAAGCTTTTCAAAATGATGATGATGATGCTTTTTCCCTTTTTGTATAGCTTTGACTCCATGCTCAGCATGGGCTGGAGCTGCAGCATCTCAGACATTTGATTTCCTGACTCTCCTTAAAGAGCTCTGCACTGAGAACAAAGAAACTTCTGACTCAGATGCACACAGGGACAGCCCGGAGACAGCCCTGCCTTCTGGCTTCTGCACTAAGTACCTGTGACAATACTTCTTAGCACTCATGCAGGACAATGTCTCACAGGTTCATCTGTAGCAACCTGGTAAGAGGTTCCTAGATATTTGTAGGATGGACTGGCTACATAGCGCAAGATAAATGAAATTAATTTGGCCTCATTTAAAAAAGAATAAATCCTTGACCTAGGTTTTTACCATAAAGTAAAAGAATCAGCGTTAAAAATGCACTAATAGGCACGTAAATAGCCACTACAAGGACAACGACACCTCCGATTGTATCAGAGTTCTGCTCTTTAAGCTGATGTCCAAAGCTGTGGTGCACCAGAAAGCATGTGCAGTCCCGTTACTGAGTCAGTGGCACTGAAAGAAGAGCTCTCTGCTGCTGGTACTCACAACTACAGTTCTGGCAGTGCACTGCTGCTTTGGACTTCCTCAGCACTTTTCAGTACTTACTGACACTTTGCACCCACCCGTAGGTACATAAAACCACCCAGTCTCCAATTGGTAAGTCACTGACACTCGGTGATAAAAATCCCTCAGTGGAAAGTGACTTCCCCTCTGCTCAGCACTCACATCTGCATCTGCAGACCTGTGACCAGTTTGGGACCACCATTATGAGAGAAATCCTGCCAAACTGGAGAAAGACCAGAAAGGACCTCTAAGATGTTAGAGGGCTGAGCAGGAGAGGCTGCTGGGGCTGTATTTGTTCAGGTTGGAGAAGGGGAGAAGAAGGGGGGATTTAATTGCTGCACTCCACTGCCTGAAAGGCAGTAAGAGAGAAGACCAAGATACACTCTTCTCAGCGAAAGGACAACAGAGAACAGACATGAGCAGCAAGATGGGAAATTCCAACCAGACACGAGGAAAAAAATTCTTCAGCGAGATTGGCTGAGCACTGGGACAGGCTGCTCAGAAAGGCTGTGGAAATGTCATCCCAACAGATATGCAAACCTCAACTAGATGAGGCTCTGAGTAATCTCATCTAACCTTGACGTTAACCCTGGTTCAAGCAGGGGGTAGACTACTAGACATCTCTTTCAACCTAAATTTGGCTATTATTTCTATGATGCTACAAATACAGATTAACCGTATTTACTTTCCTTTTGAAAGTATTCATTTATAAAAACCAGTTTCTTTACAGAAACTCCAACTTTGAAATATCATGATCTTTTTTACTTAATGTTGACATTTACCTCATAGAAATCAGCATTTCAGTTATGATATGGAGATAACAAATGAGATATAGCACACTCAACATATGGCACAAAAGCCCAAGGCAATTATCCATCCTTACTGACTGTACCGGCAATTGCTACTTATCACTTTCCTAAGGTTATCGCAGAAAAACAGTCTAGACTGCTTTTCTCCATCTGCAGATGGAGAACCTTTCATATAAATGGTCACACTGCTGCTTTTATGGGCTCTGGAGAGGCTATGATTCCTTTCCTGCCATGTGACTGTATATAAATCTAGCACAATACTAAACTGTTGGCATCACTACCGTATATTATGGATCCATGTCTAATCACACAATTGGAAATAGCTACATCTTCACTGTGCGACAGCTGTGTACTCAATCTGGTGACTGAAAATGTATGCATGCCTAGGGAAAGCTGTCTGGGAGAGGACTGGAAGAACAATTCACTTGGACTGCATCAGCCTCCCTGAATTCCTCTTATGAAGCCCCAGCTGAAAAAGGACAACAAGCTATAGCCCTGAATTATTACTGAATTAATGAAGAGCTATAGGCCTGAATTATTATAGCTGAAATGAAGAGCTGTGAATGAGAAGATTGTAACTGCTTTAAAAAAAGGCTTAATTTTAAGAACGCTGTTCCAGGTAAGTGGAAGCATGGAAAGAAGAGCAAAGAGCTTTTTGAGATATGCACACCAGCTGACAGTTTGTTCTCCCATGGACATCTCCTTCTGAAGAACCAGGCAATGGAAACAACATAAAAGGCATTTTGCATGGTTAGTGCTTGGTAAGAAAGTCCAGATATACAAAACACAGACATGCATGGGATGCTTGAAAAGGAAACAGGTTTCTATTATTTGCTGTACTCCAATCTCAGAATCATGCACATGCTGAGTGGTGGCTTCAGAAAGTCAGTTTCTCTGGAAAATCATTTTCTTTTGAATGTTTCAGGTTGTCCACCCACCACCTTCAAAAAGGGTGTACAGTGATTAATAACAGCATTTTGTACTGTATCTGCCTACTGAAAAATATGTGCATAGTGACTTGAAGTTTTTCTCTTCTCTCAACCAGATTTTTGATTTTCCATTTTTCCTCAAAATACTGCTTCTGTGCAGACTGAGGCTTGTCATCACACCTTTGGTACGTGCCACTCGCATATACTAGCATGATGATACTCATGATCCCATGGAGACATGATCATTTTTTCCCCGCTTACAACACAGGAAGAGTAGTTAAGGACAGTTACCTCTCCACCCCACATCAGAGGACATCAGGCAAAGAAGTAAATTGGAGGCTGAACTACAAGCACTTACATGTAGGTTTAATTTTAACATCACCAAGTTACTATATTCTGCTCATTCTTCATTCTGTCCCTCCAGGTTCTCTCACATGAACAGAAATGCTCATAATAAAAAGTGCCACTGTAAGCTT